AAAGGTGAAAAAATTAACAAAATATGAGAATGTGAAAGCCTCTACTTTTAGAATTTAATAATGTATATATAGGCCAAAACTGTTCTAAAGATATGTTTTTTAAGTATATCATTAAGCAGTTCTTTGAGTTTTAGATTAAAAACACATGTGATAAAATCAGGGCGATCTTGAGCTGATTGGCCTGACAAAAGTTCAGCTGTAATTTCAGGCCATAACAGGTTGCACATAAATATTATGAACAGATCTCGCTTTCCAAAACAGCAAACAATTCTCATTGCATCTATATAAAGTTGATGCATTTGTTGAGGTCCTCCACTAAATGTTGAAGGCAGAATAATACAACAGCTAACTTCTTCTATTCATACAGTATCAGTAGTTCACATTATATTTTGCAAGCCTGTAATATTTTAAAAAAACTATTTAGTCTTAAAAGTAGTATTTATTATAATCATAAGGGTTTGGAGAAGGCAATATTATTTTTACACTTTCCTTGATAGAGCTTGATACAAATTTTCTTTTGATTGGCTTTTACAAAATTTAACCAATTTTGCTCAATAATGGTATATACATCTATGATAAATTGTTAAAATAGACGGCTAGTGAGATGCAATAAAGATCTCTCTTCTACATGAACTTGCAGACAATATGCATAAAATTGTGTAAGTGTAACATATTTATATTTAATGATAAGTAAATCTTCATTATCAAATTCAATAGCATTATTGTCAAATTCAGTATTATTGTTATTGATATTTTCATTTAAATCTGTGTCTGAAGAGGAATCTATGGATGCCAACCATCCTTACCTCTTGGAAATAACAACATGTAGTACAACGGAATATACGATTTATGAAGCTCTGAAATTCTTTACCAACATCCATCCAAAGAGTAACAATAATATCATTCAGTCTCGTACTCATTTCCACTAAAATTGCAGCTACTTCACTGGCTAAGAGTATATTATAATGTCGTTAATCCAGGAATCTATTTGACCTAATTATCATTAAGAGCATTGTAGTCAGCTCATGTGTTAATATATCACAAACTTGTCTAAAAACTGCAACATAAGAATTGAACTAATCAAGCATTTGTTGAAGATCTGTCAGTACTGAAATATTCAGAGAAGGCATTAAATTCAGTCTGTATTGCAATTCGTACTTCATATCAAAGATGTAAAGTTGAGTAAAGTATGGTGCTGAATTGAGTTGAAAAGGCAAAAGAAATCTAATATTATAATATATCTCTCTATGGATACAAAAAGTATAATTTTCTAAAAGTAAAAATATAAAATGCTCAATTAAAATATTCAACGCACTGTATAAATAATTAATAAACAATAGATATATACCACCAGTACCAGTAATACTATTGTCAATATTCACATCAAGTGAAGTAAATGCCAAGTTTGAGTTATAAGCTTGAATTTTCTAATGAAAATTTCATGTTCAATGCCCAGTATCAGTAATAAGTGAATGCAGAACAGGTGGTGAATCTTGTATAGCTAGAAGAATTACTTTGCCTTATGCATAGCAAACCGTGAAAATAGGATTTTGGCTGCTAGAATTTGATTTTCTTTCTTCTAACTACATCATAGTGTTGCAATTCTTATATATTTGATCTATTCTGCCTAGTTTGTGTCAATCTAAACTATTAAATTTATTCGGGCTCAATGCTATTAGTAGAGAGTTAGGTTGCAAAACAGCAGAAGTAGTAATATCGGTAGAAAAATTAGAATCTTCATAGGCAGGAAAAACTGGTGTAAGTGCGGAACTAATTGTTAATAAATTTTGTGTATAAGGTGGTTCGACTAATTCTAATGATTCATTTTCAATTTGACAACTTTCTTCTTTCTCCTTTAACTCAGAGCCTACTTTATTACTAAGCGATTCGGGATTTTTAGTCATTTTAAGTTTTTTCGTCTACAGTTATTATCATTTAATAATTCAAGTTCATTTTGTTGCTTTGTAACATTCCGTATAAGATTTTCTCTATTTTTGCGTCTCTGATGGCACTGTTGTTGTTTTTTATGTTGAAGCCTTTTCTGTCGTTCTCTAAAACTTTCGCTTAATATTTTGTTAATGAAATAGTTGGCTTGTATGTTTAAATCTTGATCATGCAAGTGCAAAACTATGCTTAGCACAATATTATTTAACTCAATTCACT